TTGTGCTGCCGCCAAGCCCACTGAGAGAGTCCGGTGTCGCTGGCGCTCTTGTAGCTTTCAGGTGAACCACGTGATGGGACGTCACCGATGTCGACACAAACCAAGACTCGCTGATGAGGGGCACGACAGGCTCGACGATGACGCAGCGATCGCCCAGAGCAGAAGATTCGGAGCCAAGCCCGTCGTTCCTATCGGGACTTGTCGCTTGAAAGCAGCCATACGATGCCGTTTGGTGTCCGAGTAGAACTGATACGACCTGTACCAGGAAACAAAATGGGTTGCTGAGCATGCTGCCGGTTGTGCTGCCGCCAAGCCCACTGAGAGAGTGCGGTGTCGCTGGCGCTCTTGTAGCTTTCAGGCGAACCACGTGATGGGACGACACCGATGTCGACACAAACCAAGACTCGCTGATGAGGGGCACGACAGGCTCGACGATGACGCAGCGATCGCCCAGAGCAGAAGATTCGGAGCCAAGCCCGTCGTTCCTATCGGGACTTGTCGCTTGAAAGCAGCCATACGATGCCGTTTGGTGTCCGAGTAGAACTGATACGACCTGTACCAGGAAACAAAATGGTTGCTGAGCATGCTGCCGGTTGTGCTGCCGCCAAGCCCACTGAGAGAGTCCGGTGTCGCTGGCGCTCTTGTAGCTTTCAGGCGAACCACGTGATGGGACGTCACCGATGTCGACACAAACCAAGACTCGCTGATGAGGGGCACGATAGGCCCGACGATGACGCAGCGATCGCCCAGAGCAGAAGATTCGGAGCCAAGCCCGTCGTTCCTATCGGGACTTGTCGCTTGAAAGCAGCCATACGATGCCGTTTGGTGTCCGAGTAGAACTGATACGACCTGTACCAGGAAACAAAATGGGTTGCTGAGCATGCTGCCGGTTGTGCTGCCGCCAAGCCCACTGAGAGAGTCCGGTGTCGCTGGCGCTCTTGTAGCTTTCAGGCGAACCACGTGATGGGACGTCACCGATGTCGACACAAACGAAGACTCGCTGATGAGGGGCACGACAGGCTCGACGATGACGCAGCGATCGCCCAGAGCAGAAGATTCGGAGCCAAGCCCGTCGTTCCTATCGGGACTTGTCGCTTGAAAGCAGCAGTCCCTATCGGGACCTGTCGCTGTTTCGCCGACGGCATTTCGGCACTACCCTTACGCGTTCACCATCCGCAAAATCAGAACACAAGATTCAAGCATATTACGATCGAACACACGGAACTATGAAATCGTGGCCCTGACACGCGCACCGCTCGAAGTGAAAAACACACGGAACTATACTCTGTTTCACCTTGTGTCGTACCCGTCGTACCGCAGGAAAGGCTACAAGCGTGAGCTCTTTGCTCTAGGGCACATCTCGGCGGCACAAGCTCTCGTGCACCAAGGGCAGCTGCCAACTAGTGCCACTAAATAAGCTACGCTTATTTAGCTCATTTAGTGACTCTACTGCCAACGTTATGAGCTCGCGCTTCCAGCCTTCACTACGGTACAACATAAGGTGAAACGGAGTGTATAAAATCGTGGTACCGACACGTGCACCGCTCAAAGTGAAAAAAAAAGGCGGGCTGCGCGATTTTTTCCGTATTACTCGACTACAGCGCCGTTGCGAACTGTCAATACACGCGCCCTCACGAGCTCCCGTTGCCGAGCCGCTCCGGTCCCAACACTACCCAAGTATTCTATAGTACATTGTACTACCTAATTGTACCCAAAGCGGTACCAAAGATTCATATTTTCGCGTGTGCAGCCGCGCATGCGCACACCTTCTGGATAACGCACCGGTGTCGACACCTGTGGCGATCAATACCACGCGCTTCAGGCGAGCCCCTCCGGTCCCAACACTACCAAAGTATTCTAGTACATTGTACTATGACCGCAAGTGCACAAAACACGAAAGAAACGCGCCCCGAAAACGATGCCGCAGCGGCCAGCGTTGCCAGCGTTGGCCCGAAACCGAAACTATGTCAGTACCTGGTGATGGCGTCGAAATATTTCAGAAGCCCCGTCAGTGAAGTCCGTGAAAGCTATGTACATGGCAGGCAAGGGTTCCTCCTTGGAAACGGCTTTTGTCAGCTGCCACCAGTCTAACACCTTTGTCCCCTTGTTCCCCTTCTCCAGGAATTATTTTCGTAATTCTTGTCCAGCTCGCTTGCACCTTTCCATTAATTGCGTTATCATCATAACCTTAAAATGCAGGCCGTTCATCCTAGTTAGTGTTAGACTGGTGGCAGCTGATAAAACCTGCTTGGTGTACTGACGTCTAACTTCTGGTTAGTTTAGTTGGTAGAGCGCTCCACTGGAAATGGAGAGGTCCCTAGTTCGATACCATGGACCGGGCGGATTTTTTGGGTCGCGCACCAGTCACCTAGTTGTGTTTGTCCTTTGTCCCCCTTGTTTCCCTTTCCCAAGTATTATTTTCGTCATTCTTGTCCAGCTCGCTTGCACCTCTGCATTTATTGCATTATCTTGATAGGCGTACGCGCTGAGCAACAGTGTCCAACGTACGTTTAACTCTCGCTACCGCCATCGCTAGTATTGCGTTATCAGGGTGAAACAGTCAAACCAGGGGTTTATGGTCGGTTAACAGCGCAAACCTTTGATTTAGAAGGTGCTCGCGAAACTTGGTAACACCAAAAACCAGAGCGAGGGCTTCCCGCTCGAGCTGCAAGCCGTCCTTTTCTGCCGCCGACAGACGCGGGATCTGAATCCGATAGGCCGATCTGCGCCGTCAACTCGATGATACAACAAAGACGCGTCTCCTTGTGGCCGATGCCTCAAGGAGACGCGCCACACTCAAGATACATGGGCGTCTTAAGATCGTAGTGAGACATTAAGTCGTCCTTTTCTAGGAAGTCCTTCACCCGAATGAAAGATTGTTCCTCTTTTCTATTTCACTTCCAAGGGACACCCTTGTTGAGGAGAACATAGAAAACCGACAAGGTGCATGGTTGCAATTCTCGGCAAGAACCTGTGGTATTGGTATAGTACGACACGAGTCTCAGGGATGATCCAAACTCGGCGTCGCACCTCGGACGAGGTATCTGAAGAACCGCGTCAATGTTCTCTCTCTTGAAATGCAAACCTCTTGCGTCGATGCGGTGTCCAGATAAATCTACCGCGGCCTGTCGGAATGTTCACTTTCCTGGGTTCAGCTTAACCGGAACTCACGGAGTTTCTGTGGAACCTTTCGTAGTAAGTCGCTGTTTCCTCTGTTATCTGCGACGACAACGTCCCTGTAGGAATACTTACATTCAACGCTGGAAAATCGCAGGCCAGAGGTGACCCCAGAGGACTTCAGAACAGAACAGGCCTTTCTGCGTCTTCACCACATTTAGCTGCCTGGCGTTGTCAGTGGGAGCTCGTTGTAGGGATCTTTCAGGTCGACGGTGTTAAACAATTAGCTATCACCAGCTCGCCTGCGCACTTGGGAATTTTTTTTTCTTTCTTTTTTTTTTACTAATAGGTATTGAAGACTTTTCCGGTTTCAGGTTGGCGAAATTGTCTTAAATTATGGGCAGCAGGCACTGCTCTTGCCTGCACGCGGAGCTCAAGGCGACTTTAATATTGCCACACAGCCTGATGATCCCGCTTTCAATAATCACGGGAACGAAACGTGCAGCCCACTCTGAACTAGTAACGGGCGAGAAGACTCCAACGCTCACCAGCGTATATCGAGTTCTTCGTCCGCCTTAGTGCGCAGCGCGTAGGGCACTTTGCGAGCCTTGAGAAAAAGCAGCGATGCATCTTCCCGCACTTGTAGCCTAACGGGTGGTTCGTTGATGAACCACAGGCCCGGCTCGAATAACTCCGAAAGTTCCGCGAGTAATCCTCGGATGTTGAAGTTGTCTTTCGGGCATACAGGAACATAAGGTTCACCTGGATAAATGTTAACGTTCTAGATGGGCACTTCCTCCGAATGAAACGCCTGGATGAGATCCCACCCACACAAATTCGGACCTGGACACCCCAGGACGATCAGTGAACATGCTTTGGTCTGACCTTGGAAGGAAACTTGAACTTCCAGTCGCCCTCGCAAATTGTTTTCCCAAGAAGGAGGAAAGCTGTAGTGACGTCTCGTGCAACTTTGGCCAGTTGTCCCGATGTTTGATATGGGTGGGCCACGTAAAGATCGACACTGGGGCCCCAGTGTCCAGTTCAGGCACGTATCCAAGGGAGGGGGGGGGGGGGGGGGCATGCCCCCCCCCCCCCCGCCCCCGAAATATTTTATATTGCTGGGGCCTTCTCTCCCCCCTCTCCCTTGTACAGCATTTTGTCATGGGCGGCGCCCCCCCCCCCCCCCCCTCGAATCAAAATCCTGGCTACGTGCCTGGTCCAGTTGCACTGCGGCAGACTATGGAAAGTCGCCATGCGTTCACGATTCTCTTCCGTAGCCGTCGTGGATCCTTCGCTCGTCGCCACTGAAGTAATGTAGGCCGAAATATAAAATGAACGGCCGATTTATTGGTGTGCCGCTATGTCTGGAGTTCGTGTCCATAGTCCATGAAACGAAAGTGCGTGACCCTACCTACATGCCGGATCCGCGTGCCGACGGGTCACTGAATCACGTGGTTTTGGACGTTGCGCCTTCGTCATAACACGGAGAAAAGAAAGCTCGCTTACCATCCGACGTAGCTCACTAGTTGTATATTGGCAGAGGGCTCTGATGATACGGACGGCATAAATAAGCTTGTAAGAACACAGTGGGTAAGAATTTTGTCTCGCTAAAGTCAACAACGCCAACCCAACGTTTCAAAAAATCCGCCGAGGGTGCCGTGGCTTATTTGACTTACGGATTGGCTCTGAAGTCTCGTCTTCATTTGGATTTTGAATGCTCGCAAACCAGGTTTATAGATTACAATATTTATACTTATTTAATATACACATGTCTATATTATTAGGACATTTATATCTGTTCTTCATTTACGTGCAGTCATTGTTTGGACTGATTTTGGACGCGGTAGTGGCGCTACTTTTAGTCCAATGAGATAGCTAAAGATAGCAACATTGTATCGAATAGCGGCAAAAGGGAAAGTTTTGGCGCCGAAATTACCGAAACTAGCTGTCAGCATTTTCCGCAACTCGTTGTCAGCGCTCGTAAGTTCATTAGTGAGCACGTAACGTGCCGCGTATCAGTATCTCCTCCTTGTCTGTCCTCCTCAAAGACTCGGCGAGTTCTGCGGCCAAGATGTGGATCCAGGTGCGAACGATGGACGGCGCCAAGTCCTCGCGGATCGACGGGCTGTCCAAGCTCACAAAGATCGAGGAGCTTCGACTTCGCGTTCGGGACGATTTTGAAGTGGACACTCCGCTGCAGAGGCTCTTCTACAGGGGAAAACAGGTGAAGGCTTTCTCTACGGCACTTTGAGATTAGCTCGGTTGCGCGAGGAGGTCATGTCGGCACCTCTCGCTATTCGGCAGGCTGTTTCCTTTGTTGTTGGTTTTAATTTTTTCAGGCTTCACCCCCTTTTAGGGGTGTCGGTGTCTGTGCGTGTTAACACAAAGAGCAAGCTCGCTTAATAATCTGGCCCCGTATGGAGTTCGCACTCGCGCTGTATGTTGCACATTAGAGAACCCGGGCTAGCACGGCACCCGCCAGACGGGTTGTCATCGTCTGTGGCTTTTAAAGGCTCATTGCTGCATATTACGCAACTGGGAGCTGTTCAAGTGATCACTCAAAATGTGACATGGACATGGAAGCGGATAATAGAAATGACATGAAATATGAAAACTGAGAGGGACACGTCAGTAAATGGTAGAGATAGTATATATTGCGCTTCTTAGCTCATGGTGCGGCTTTGTGTGCCGGTGAGCAGGGAAAAATACTGTGCATGTACACGTCAGGCACGTACATGTTGTGCCAACCGGGCAGATACAAAACACCGACGGCACATTGATATTTTAGACCCGTGTTGTAAAAAAAGGCTGTCTCCAGGTTCGGGTCTAAAGGCATGTGTTTCGTGCAAGTTTTAAAAGGTTAAAAAGCGCAACACCACAAGGACAATAAAGACACGAAGACGACAGGACGGGCGCTAACTCACAACTGATTTTATTAGAAACAACACTGTCACTTTTATACACAAGATCGTATGCCAAACCCACACTGCAACCAATCACCACTCTCACAAGCAACTATCTAGAAACATTACTTCTTTCTGAAGCAAAAAGAGAGAAGGCGCGCTAACGCATTTGTCATCTTTCTTTTTGATATAAAACGCCTCTATAATCTCTCTCTCGGTCTTATCTTTTGATTTCTTTAAAAATTTTGTTTCAGCCAAATGCGTTAGCGCGCCTTCTCTTGTTCGATGTGGGAAAAGGGCAAGCTTTCAACATGGAGTCAGGCACGCAAAAAGCCCTTTATTCACTTCTTCCTCTTCCCTCGTGTCGGCCAAACCGATACGAGAGGTGAATTACCTCACACATCTCCCCTACTAAGTCTCACACCAACAACCAATCACACATCTCCCCTCCTAAGTCTCACAACAAACACTCACACCTTTCTCCCTCTAAGTCACACCTGCATCGTTCATTGTTCTTGATACCTCTTTGGTGCTCGAACACATCTTCCACTTTTTGTGTGAGCGTGGCCGCCATCGGCGCAATGAGGCCCAGCCTCTGGTGAATCAGCACCGTCTTCTTGCACATTCTCGGGTACCTGTAGTTCTGATCCAGAAGCCTGACTGGGTAAGGGAATCAGGTGTGTTCTGTTTCTGCGGATAGAGTCTCCGGCGTCAGTGTCGATCCAGTATGATCTGGGTTCATTTGCACTGCTTTGGACGACTCCTTGTCGTTGCAGGTCGACTACCCACACGTCAGTTCCTTCGTCCAAGTCGACTAAGTCTCGGACGCCATGCCGGTGGTCGAAGTCTTCTTTTTGTTTTCGTCGCTGAGTCATTTCAAATTTTCTGACGTTGAGATCTGGAAGGCAGGGAACGAGGCGGCTAGACGAGACTGGGAGATTTGTTCGTAACCTCCTGCCCATCAGAAGTTCTGCCGGACTGTATCCATTTTTCAATGGACTCGTTCTATAAGCGAGTAGGGTCTTGTACGGGTCTTCTGTTTTCTTCAGAGACGACTTTATTATTTTGACCACGGCTTCTGCCATTCCATTGCTTTGAGGGTACCTTGGACTGGAAGTGATGTGGCGAAAACCATAATCCTTTGCGAATTCATCAAATTCGCGATTAGCGAACTGGGGTCCGTTGTCGGATACCACCACGTCCGGTATCCCATGCCTCGCAAAAATAGACTTGCAATGGGTGATCACAGTTCCCGATGAGAGACCACCAAGGCGGACCAGTTCTGGGTACCGTGAAAAATAGTCAGTTATGATTAGCCACCAGGCTCCGTCCCAGAAGAACAAATCCATCGCTATTCTTTCCCAGGGACGCTGTGGGAATTCTGTTTGCAGAAGAGGCATTTTGCGGTTGACACTCTGTTTGAGGCATACGTGACAGTTTTTGATGAGCCGCTCAATATCAGAGTCAATTCCAGGCCACCAAACAGAATCCCTTGCTCGTCCTTTGCATTTGTCTATCCCGAAATGACCTTCATGAAGTTGGCGAAGGACGGTGTCGCGCATTTTCTCAGGGATTATCACTCTAGAGGTACGAACTATTACGTCGTCAACGAGTGAGATGTTGTCTTTATCTTCCCAATAGGGTTTGAGCTCCTGCTCGAGATCTCTTCTTCTTGGCCACCCTGTTAGAATGAGTTGACGAAGCCGCGCGCATACTCCGTCTTTCTGTTGTTCACTGGCGACCTGCTGAACACTGTATGATGTCAGCGGCATAGAGGAGACAATGTGTTTGATGTAGCCATCGATCTCATTTTCGAGGTCGAAAGGTTCCGATTGTGAAATAGGAGACCTTGACAGAGCGTCGGCTGCCGTTAGATCCTTGCCGGGGACGTAGACGATGGCATACGTGAAACGCATGAGTCGCATGCGCATTCTTTGTAACCTTGGTGTCAAGTCATCGAGTGCTTTGGACCCAAAAAGTGAGATGAGAGGCTTGTGATCAGTTTCGAGAGTGAAGACTCTTCCTACGAGGTAGTCTCGAAACTTTTCACCGGCCCACACGAGTGATAAGCCTTCTTTTTCTATTTGTGCATATCGACGTTCGGTCTCTGTCATAAGCCTTGACGCGTAGGCAATTACCTTGAACCGCTGTCCCTCCTTCTGGCGCAAGACAGCACCTAGTCCGTATGCTGATGCGTCTGCACTTACAACGGTTTCTTTCATGAGATCGTAGATACCCAAAACTGGGTCTGAAGAAAGCATAGCTTTCCACTGGTCAAATGCAAGCTGTTGGGGTTGGTTCCACACAAATTCATGTTTTGTGCTTAACATCGATGACAGTGGTTCCAAGACCTGTGCACCATTGGGGACAAAACGTGCAAGATACGTAGCCATTCCCATGATGCGGCGTAACTCCTTTTTTGATGTGGGACTTGGCATTTGCAGAATAGCAGACAGCTTTGCTGGATCCGGACGAACCAGATTGTTCTCGATCAGGTGTCCTAAAAAGGAAATCTTCGTAACGCTGAAGAGACATTTCTCTTTGTTTAGCGTGATCCCAGCTTGAGTGAGGCGCTCCAGTACTGTTCTTAGACGACCATCGTGTTGATCTTGTGTGGACCCCCAGATTAGGACGTCGTCCATATGGCATGCAACTCCTTCCAGCCCTAAAAGAACATCGGCCATCCTCCTTTGAAAATGTTCTGGCGCCGAAGAAATTCCGAACGGCAGCCTGTTAAAACAGAACCTGCCAAAAGGTGTTATAAAGGTCGTCAGGGTTTTACTGTCCTCGCTTAAAGGTATTTGCCAAAACCCTGAGTTGGCGTCAATCTTCGAGAAAACGGTTGCTTTCTGGAGCATTCCCAAAGTGTGTTCTACAGATGGAATCGGATGCCATTCCCTCTGGACGTACTTGTTCAGTTGCGTAAAGTCAACGCAGATACGTATGGCTCCTGAGGGCTTAGGAACCACTACCATCGGTGCACACCACGCCACTGGTTCTGTCACTGGTGAAATTACTCCGAGTTGTTGCATCCTCTCCAGCTCCATCTTTGTCTTGTTGAAAAGAGGCAGGGGCACCCTGCGAGGCGATGTCAGGGCAAAGGCCGTTGCATCAGGTGCTAGCTTTATCTCGTAGTCTCCTTTCATAGTGCCGAGCCCTTCAAAAAGACAGGGAAACTCCTCCTCGGGGCAGAGGCTCCGCACCTGGCAAATCTCTGAGAGAACCTTGAGCTTTTCTATAGCTGGCCTTCCAAGAAGCGGTGTTTTGAGGCCTCGGAGGACGTAAACTTCCTCTTCGTTCGTGTAGTTTTTGAATGAGAGGTTCAGGTTTACGACGCCCAAGACGTGAAGTCGTCTTCCGTCGGGCCCCTGAAGCTGGCGCCTCGGCGGGTTTAGAGTAGGGTCTTTGAAGAGACTCCTAAAAAGGTCTTCGGGGACTACTGTTTCGTCTGCCCCGGTGTCTACCTTGAATAGTACTGGGTGGTTCTCAACCAGTATCATTAGTTCCCACTTTGAAGTTTGGGTGTTTGACGTTGTGCCGAGGAATCCTGGCTCTTGACCGTCGTTTCTTGTTTGGGTAGCTGGACCTGAGGCCGTCATCAAATGTCCCTTTGAGAAAAATCCTTCTTCTTGCTCGGTGACATTTCTGAGAGAAGACGTCGACCGACAAACTGTCATAAAGTGTCCTCTTTTTCCACAACCTCTGCACACCGCGTCTTTTGCTGGACAACTTGCCCGAGAGTGTGTTGCATGTCCGCACCAGGTGCAGGATCGTTCTGGATTTTTGGCGTCATGCTGGTGACGTTTTGACAAAGTCCTATCCCAAACGACCGCAGCCTTTTGTGGCACTGTAAATGATCTGCTAGTGCGAACCTGGTGTACTGACTCTGGGCTTTCTGTGGGACGTAGCTCTTTCTGTTGTATTCGAACTGTTTCATGTTGACGGGCGATCATGAGCGCCTTCATCAAGTCTAACGAAGAGTCCAACTGTAGCTTTTCTGAAACTTTCTTGTCCTGCAGGCCTACTACCAAGCGGTCTCTGATTAGTTCTTCTCTGAGTTCGCCGAAGTTGCACGTGTCGGCTAACGTGTGCAGGGCCGTTGAAAATTCCTCCACTGATTCACTCTCCCCTTGAGTTCGGGTGTTGAATCGTGCTCTTTCATAGATTATGTTGCGTTTTGGAAAAAAGTAGGCTTCGTAGTGGGCTAGCACGACATCGAACTTCTTGGCATTTTCTGTACTTAGCTTGAAAGTGTTGAAGATATCTTCTGCTTGAGTGCCCATCAAATAGACGAGCGTGTCAACTTGTCTTTCTTCGGCTG